CGTCTTTTATGGGCTTTGTGCTCCTGCTCATCACACACACACACACACACACACACACACTCACACACACACACAAGTGCAAATAAACACACACACACACTCACAGCAAGCTGCAGGTGTAAATCACACACAAACACGTCCCAGTCCAAAACTAGAAGGAACAAATAAGGAAATAGAAAAGAAAAGTCTGTCAATACAAAATATGATGTCTTGTTTGAAAGTTAGCATAGACAGATATTCAGATGGACGGATGGATAAATTAATGGTTGGATAGATATTTAGATGGATAGATAGATAGATAGATAGATAGATAGACAGACAGACAGACAGATGACAGATAGACAGATGACAGATAGATAGATAGATAGATAGATAGATAGATAGATAGATAGATAGATGCAAAAGTCACAGTGCAAATGATTTCTAATGAAAATGGTGTTGATTTTGAGGTGTATGATCTTGACAGGTTTGGTGAGAGTATCTCCCTCTCTCTCTCTCGCTCTCTCTCTCTCTCTCTCTCTCTCTCTGTGTGTGGTAGAGCTGAATGAGCTGATGGAGCTGCAGAGCGGCGCGCCTCCAGATGGTGGTGTTTGTGATGCTGAAGCGCTGGAGGACGGCGGCGGCGCTCGGCTCACTCCCGACTCCTCAGAGCTGGATATGGACGACTGTGACTCTCTGATCTCTGAGCGGACGCTCTCGGTCTGCAGCGACCCTCAGCGGGCCCCGCGTGGCTCCTCCTGGGCCCTGGCTCTGTACGGAGACGACTGCTTCAGTCCGGATGTGCTGGAGTACACACAGACACTCAGCAGTCACAGCGAATCTCCCACGCTGGAGGACAAATCACAGGTGGGTTTATACATGTTGTGTATGGATTAATTTTGAACACAACGCTCCAAATCTTTATATGTATGGGTCAAATTTTACCCCAAAATATAAAGAAAAGACATAAGAAAGCATATCTTTCATAAAACGAAGCATGCTCTTTGAACCATTGAGATTATGGGGTTTTCATAACAATTTAACACATTTTCACCACAATTCTCAGTTTTGTGTTTCTTTGTAATTATTTTTATTCTCAGTGGTGATTCTGTTTTATTCCCGTGGTATATTTTACTGTTACAATGATATTGTTTTAACAATTAGCCAAATATTAAAAGCAGTACAATGACACATAAATAAAATATAAATACTTTACCATTTACATAATATATCAGTTATCAGTTATTTTAACACCATTGAGATACTATTGTAGTTTTTGTTAATATTTTAAATTAGATTTTATTTTTATATTTTCACTTTAAAGTTCGTTCAAATTTTATTTGTTGTGTTTTTTTTTTCATTTTCAATTTTTTTCATTAATGTCTATATAGTTTTTATCAAATTGTATTTATTAGTTTTAGTTTATTTAGTTTTAGTTATTTTAGTACAGCAAGTTAAACTAAATGGAAAAGAGAAATACTGCCTTTGCAACTAGCTGAAATAAAATAAGTTTATGTTTTTTAATGTTTTATTTTATTTTGTTATGTTTGGGGATGAAATTGTCACATGAAAATGTATGAAAATAACTGCATGAAAAAAATGACAATGCAAAACATTTTAATTATCAAAAAATAAATGTTAATTTTCTTTATGCAATATAATTTCCTATTTATTTCTTTAGATTTTGGGTTGAAATATATATATTTTTTTCTACCGTGTTGACGTGTCTTTGCTCTTTGTCTGTTCTGTTATTGTCCTAATGCTGATTTCCGGTGTTCATTTAATGCTAACTGTACTGAAAGGACCCACATTTCATGCAGCCAGAATTTCTCCAGGTACAGTATCCTAAACAACCTTCATTTTCATCGGAAGAGCTTTAGTGGATGAAGAGCTTCCATCATTCATGCTTTGAATGAGCCACATGCATCAAACATTCAGAACCAGGAACAGAATATGGACAATGTGCATTTTGATTGGGTTCAAGCATAGTATTGGATATTTACGTGATACTATCTAATATTTATAGCAGAATATGAGTACTCAGTGTGTGCTTTGATGGCGTTTGAGGGCTGTTTTTATGAGCGGGGGTCAGACGCGGGAGCTCTACAGGAGGAACAGAGCTGCAGTCGGACTTCAAAGCGCTGACCATTGATGTCTGTTACCATAGAGAGAAATACAGAGAGTTCAGAGTCTCCATCCTGATCATATGCACTACTCTTTAAAAGTTTGGGGTCAGCAAGATACTATATTCTGCAAGGAAGCATTAAAGTGATCAAAAGTGACAGTAAATGTTATATGTTTGTAATGTTTTTCTATTTGTCTATTTCAAATAAATGAATTTCTATTCATGAAATAATCCTGAAAAATAAAATGCATCACAGTTTCCATGGAAATATTGTGCAGCACGACTGTTTTCAACATTGATAATAATCAGAAATGTTTCTAATAAATCAGCATATTAGAATGATTTCTGAAGATCATGTGACACTGAAGACTGGAGTAATGATGCTGAAAATACAGCTTTGATCACAGGAATAAATGACAGTTTAACAGATATTCACATAGAAAACAGCTGTTTTAAATTGCAATAATATTTCACAATTTTTACTGCATTTTTGATCAAGTAAATGCAGCCTTGATGTGCAGAAGAGACTTCTTTACATTAAAAAATCTTACCGACCCCAAGTTTTTTAAAGGTAATTTACACACCAAACATCTTCATCCTCTTCATCACATTGAGTCCAATCACACAAAGCCATACAGTTTATCCTAGACACAAATCAAGATCATTCTGGATCTGAAAAGCCCATCTTGCTGGATAATGCCGCTAAAACCAGCTTCTGATAGAAGGCAGTTTTACATGGTTTCTCCAAGCTGTCATTTATCAAGGGTTATTCTAGTTAATCCAGGGTTATTTTAGTTAACTAAAACTGAAACTGAAAAAAAAAGTAAAAAAAAAAAAATTATATATCTCTCTCTCTCTCTCTCTCTCTCTCTATATATATATATATAATTATTATTATTATAGGCAAGGCAAGTTTATTTATGTAGCACATTTCATACACAATGGTAATTCAAAGTGCTTTACATAAAAGAAGAGAAAATAATAATAAAAAAAATAATCACAACAATAAAACAAGGAATTTAAAAACTTTGAAAATGATTTAAAAATGTATTTAAGAGATTTAAAATGAATTTAAAACAGTTAAGAATGGAAAATGATTATACATAAAATATAGTGCAATCAGTTATATATATACGCTTTTTATTTCAGATAGTTACCAAGGAAAAATTTCTCATTTTAATTTTGTTTAAATTATGTAGTAAAACTTTATGTACTAAAATCACTAAAATTATATAAAATAAATAATAAAAACTATATAGACACACACACACACACACACACACATATATATAAACTGCTAAAAATGACAAAAACAACACATTTTATAAAACTTTAAAATTACTATTAAAACATAACATTTAAAAATAAAAACAAAAGCATGAATAAACTTTTTTTTTTTTTTTTATAAAAACATTAATAAAAACTATAATGGGATCTCAATAATACTAAAATAACACTTGTCTAAGCTGGTCTAGATGATTAATCAGGTGGATTCGTGGTGAAGTCAGCAGGGAAACTGGTTAAATCCTGCGTTCTGTTGTCTGTGAATGCAACGCATGGTTAGTTGCATGTATTTCCAGAGTTCAGCTGGGCATCGAGATCCATTTATTGATCTTTTCTTATCTTTGCTCTTAAACAGGAGCTGCACCAACAGCTGATTATTGAGAGCAGAAATCTGAAAAAGACCAGAACTTTCTACCACAAGCTGATAGAGCAAGAGAGGAAAAATAAAGGTACTTCTGCTACAATAGAAAGTCTGACGGCTGTGCGTTAATTCTGCAGTGCAGCTGTTCCTCGTTCGTCAGATGTGTGTGTGTGAGCTGCTCGTCTGTCTTTGTAGGTTCAGACATGAAGGTGATGGTGTCTAAAGTCAAGCAGCAGTTTGACGAGCTCAGAGCCAAAGTTGAGTTTCTGCAGTCTGTCAAGGAATATCTCCAGGTTTGTGCCCAAGCACACGCTGCATTTCCTCTGCTGTGGATTTAAAGACATTTCTAAGCATTCATATTCTACGTTTACATTTATTTACTTTGCAAAGACACTTTTATCTTAAGCATCTTACAGTGTGCTCAGGTTTACATTTATCAGAGCACTGGGAAGCATGGGAACCCATGACCTTGATATTGTCAGAAACTTCTAATATAATAATAATAATATAATGTACTTCTAAATAATACGAACTTGAGATCTGACTGTGAAGTGAAATCTGTTTGGATGAGCCAAATTCAAGCCATTGTAAATTATTTAATTGTTAAAATAATAGTGTTTAATAATAATGATAATTATTATTATTATTATTATTATTAATAGATTAATATTATTATCAATTTATAACAAATTGTTTAATCATGGTAATCTATTTAATTTGTTATAAATAAAAAAAATAATAATC